AAAAAAAAAAAAACAGCCAAATGATCCAACTGTTTAACAGTCATGAAATTCCAAAAAAATAAATACACGTCAAGTATTGATAACAGATCAATGGTATTATGCAGCGGGTAATACGCTGAGAGAAGCAATTTTTGTACTATTATTTAACCTTTGTAACAACAGCTACTTTTTCTCAAATGCGGAAAATACACGAAAATTCATAAGGCATGTTCTTTTTCTTGAAAAAAAATTTTTTTTTAATGTAAACCTCATCAAAATTTCATCAACAAATTTTTTTTTGACTGCCCTTTAGTTTTAGCATTATCTTGGTAGTGTTACAACGGCTAATTATAGTAAACCAAACATGACAAAACTACAGTTTGAAAAATTAATGAATAAATTTACAGATGACATTATACAAATATAAAATTAATGAATTAATGCCTAGTAATCTCAGTCATAATTGAAACACTAAATATATGAGGTTATTCTAAATAAGAATTGGTTAAGAGTAAATCGCATGATCTTAAAACTTTCCAGTTTTGCCAGATTATTTTCAAATACACAATATGCTAAAAAATAACCTTTTAGACCTACAACATAAGAGTCTTCAGGTAGCAATTAACTCCATCATTTAAGCTTAAAATTTTGAAATTATACTTCAACTACCACTTTTTTTTCAGCTACTACTGCGGCTCTTAGACAAAAATCAGACAAGCCCTCGTGCGACTAAGTCACAGTTTTTCACCTTATCCCTTTGCAGTCTTGTAGCAGACTAAGGCGTGCATAAAAATAATTTTGACCTTTAAACAACATTTTAGCAAAAGCTTGTCTATGTTTCATATGATCTTTATATTTTTCTTGCATTGCTTTCGCCAAATGCAGAACCAACACCTTATCTCGAATGACCTAATGCTAACAGCTCTCTAATTCCCTAGATTAGTACTGTATTAATACAAGTGATAAGGCAGAATTACTTTGGTTTTAAAGCTTGACTGCTAATGTATGCACGTATGTAGAGTGACGTTAAAGAGGTTAACAACGAAGAGCGTCACTTTCACCTTTACGACAATATTCCCGTCCAGGTTGGTCATCGCAGTATTTTATTGTAGAACCTTGAAACGAAAAAGCCATTTTTTAAAATAAAAAGTCTGAAGTTCATACTTTGAATTATTTGGTATTCACTTTTTGATGTAGAAACGATCAAGAAATTTAATGCAACTTACACGCCGTAGTTTCACAAGCAAAATGACGTAATGGAGTAAGTGGCCCACATGGTCCAACATCCCAACCGTATCCAGACCTCGCCTGGCACCGCCTCCGATAAACACACCCATCATTTTTAATATTTGCATCTGGACACCAGTCCGTCTGAAGGGAGCCAACCTGAAAGGGTATCCATAGAATGAAAAAAATGATTAATATCCTCGTTTGTGCAAAAAATTGAAGTGAAAAAAAAACTGGAGTGAAAAACTGAAGTGACTCAGTGTTTGGATTTTGGTTTATAATTATTGAAATTAGATACTTGAAAAGCTACCAAGACTGCGAAAAATTATGGCAAAAAAGTATTCCCTGATGGTCATAAAAGATTAATATGCGAGAATACTAACGATGATCTTGATTTACAAGTTAATCATACCTCAGAAAGTACTTTGTAACTGGTCAAGTAATATAGTTTATCGCCATGTTTTCGAAGACCTATCCAGTATTCTTCCGCTTTATTTCTAGATGTAATTTGACCTAAATAAAAAACTTTTCCTTTTAAAAGGCGTGATTATCTCAAAAATGTAATAGTTTCGTTAGAGTCGATTTATCGTCTTAAAATGTAAACCAGAGTGCGAATTTTTTCAAAGAAGAACCTTCGATAAAACTGCTGGTATGTTTATCAGTTGGAATTGCAAGGGAAAAGCCGCGTGAACGGCAATGTTCGGCTGCATCATCAAAGCTCAGTCTTAAATTTCTACTCTCAACGCATAAATTCCGCCTACTACACACGTCGCTGCCTCCAAAACTCAACTGCGAAAGGCTTTTAGTCTCACAGTTGCAATTAACTGAAAAGTCCTTAGAATTCTTAAAATTTTTTAAAGCGTTTGCAACAATTAACTCTGAAATAAGTTAAGAATGAAAATCATGTGTCAGCTAATAGCACTGTTAACTTTAAGAATAAAAAATATTGTTGATGCGTTTTCGGTATTTTAAACCCTGTACGTTACGTGACCAAAAGTCTTACCGTAACAGAGAGTGCGATATATTCTGCTATAACTGTGGAATCCGTCAAACGGTATCAAACTGCATCCTCTAACGAAGTCCATGTTTAAACCATGATTACCAACCGACAGCCCAATAAATGTTACACCATAGGTGCGTGACATTTTAGCAACAAGGGAACAACCATAAGTATCTTCATAGTTCTTTGCCGACCTTAATATATAGCACCTACGATTGTAGAAAATTAAGAACCTTTAAATGAATGCTTTACGGTTTTTATATCTTTTCTATAACTATGCACTCAAAAGAAGTCATTCAGAATAACATAAAACAGTTAAAAACTTCAAGATAGTGTTATAATTTAGAACTTATCAGGTTGTCCAAAAATTACTGATACATGGCATTTTTAACAAGTTTGCAGTTTGCCGTCTATTTCTTCAAAATCACCCAACTTTGCAGAACTCAAAAAATAATTTTAAAAAACCCTTGGATAAACTAGTCACAGGTAGACGTTCAGATTCCTATAAAATGTTTACATTCACTTTTGTCAAGACTAGAAAAATTAAAAGACTGGAAACTTATAAGATTTATTAGCTTAGTTGAGTCAAAAAAATGAAAATATTTAGTTTACTTTGTTACCAAAAAAGCACTATGTGGCTTTCATCAGGCTAATTCGTGACATTTTGGATTTTAATTTTGTTATGAAAAGCCTTGAAAAGCTGTGCAGGTAGTAGATGAAGAGTAAAAACGGCAAATACTTTAATGGTCTCCACTTCAGAATTCACTTTTTCCACAAACCCTATCAGTTCTCCTAACCTTCTCAAAAAATCCTTGACACAACTGCCCATTAGTAAGAGTAAATCCAGGAAATCAAAGGTAGTGCAGTAGACAGAAAGAAAGTTATGCTACTGCATAATGATGTACAGCTACATTTTTCCAGATTCATTAAATGACAGCTTGAAAACTGTGCATCAATAATTTTTCACACGTCCCTTACTCTCTCTATTCATCTCCAACATTTTTAAATTTCAGACAATGAATTCTGACAAAGATTTCCATTGACTTATAGTCCTCAAAAGTGAGCAAATAATTTAACTTTTTATTTGTGCAAGTAAAGTTTGATTTACTTGAAAGCTAAAAATAAAAGTGTTTTTGTTTTGAAGAGTCATTTTCACTCCAAGTGATGTTGTTTTTTGATAAAGCTTCCTATCAGAAATAGCAAGGTCCTGAGATACGTTTAATCTTCAGAAGTCAGCCTTCATTTTTTGTTTTCACTACCCCCATCTACTGTTTTAGAAATTTAACAGCTGCTCAAAAAATTTATTAAGTAATTTTTGCATAGTTTATGTTTGCTGGAATATTTTTGCTTAATACGGAGCGTCTCACCTTCAGAAATCTAGTTTAACCAAGTAACAAAAAGTTTTTTTGGTACAAGCTCTCTCTGAGCCTTAAAATTCAGATTAACCTTGATGTTGGTAAACAGGTAATGGTTCGAGAAGAAAACAATACAACAACTTTTGGAACATTACTTCGCGTACGGTCATCTGCAAAGATCCGTTCAGCAAGCTGAACTGCGCTGAAATTTTAAATGTTAGTCGACCCTGCTGTAAAATATCTCATAAAGGAACAGCACCTTCTATTTTAAACCACCACTCTTCAAACAAGCAATCCTCTCTCCTCCTACGTTACAAATTTACAAATTCAACTGTTTTTTGACTGTTATTTGCATATATTTCTTTCGTAATAATGCTTATGTAACATTTACGCAAAATTCAAAAATGCATCAGTGCTTTGAATTTCAGGAATGAATTCCTGCAAGAAACAGAAAAACTTACTCAGTAAAGTTGAATAAATCAGCCTTGCAAAAATTAGTCTGATAGATCAACTTGTGAAGTTCAGAACTACTCCTTGTCAGATTGGCAACCACAGTGGCCTAAAAATAAGAAACAATATTATCAAATTTTTTAGGAACTCCGGAAAGGAAAAGTGTGAAAGTCGTCCTCTAAAAAGTTTTTTTCTATTATTTTAGCTTTTTTCATAATCACCTTTAATTGCGTCTAACATACCTTTGCTCCTGCGCTGATAATCGCTATCCTGGAATAAACCATCCCTGCAGAGTAAACACCCACTTTTTCTCCAAAGGTCTCAACGAATTCCTTAGCCTACATTACAGTTCATAATATTGTTGTAAAACGTACTAAAGTAGTACACAGATACATTTATATGGGCTATTTAATACCAAATCACACACCATTTTCACTTGACGCTTTAAGCTTTTCCTTTTTTTGCCTACTTGTAGCTTTTGACACCCGATTGTAAAATCAAAAGAGTTTACCTCAGAAAGCGCTCTGGTGGCAAAGCTATACCGTGTGGAAAAAAACCAGTTTGTCTTCAACATAATCACCTTTAAAAACCGATAGTTTTCTTTACTTGCAGTGACTTCACTATATTTAAAAGACTATCTCCTGCAGATCCAGAAATATAGTGAAGTATTTATATCAACAAATTTTATACAAAACTGGAATAAAAACAAAAATTAAAAAGTCGTTCTAAAAAAAAAAGCATTATAGATTTTTTTTAAAAAAGATATTTTTTAAAGGCGTAATTTTTACACGATGTATAGAAATCGCAAGGTGGTATCTTTTTGATATCAAGAGCTACAGCCGACTGGTGAGAGTAGACTGCAAAAAATCTTCATTTGAGGCAGTATTTTGGTGCCACCGCGAGTGATAGAGCTCTGAAATTGTTTTGAATTTAATAACGTATATAATTTATTGAAACTTCTCTCACTTTCATTAGTTCAATAACAGGCAGGTGGTTTTAAGTTTTTAACTTTTAATTAATTTAAGAAAGCTCTTCTAAAAAAAATTAATATCACGAGCACTTTTCCGATTTACACCGCCTTGCTTCCTTACTAAACTCTTCTAATCAGAATATTTTAAGCAAAAAGAGAGAGGTATGAAGATTTTTCCTAATTCACGACAGGGAAGGGCATCACCTGCAAAAGTTGCATAAAAAGTGGTATACCTTTTCTGCTGTGACAAAATCAATAGATTGATGCTAAGGAAAGAGGATTATTATAACATCAGAGGAAGTGAAGAGAAGAAATAGGTTCAAAATGTCTTATTCTGTGTTCTGTAAAAGAAGCTTATAGTTTATTCAAGGAAACCGAACCGAAAACGATAGGTTTCTCGAATTTTGTTTCATCATGACCCAAAAATTTTGTTCTTCTAGAAGGTTCCAACGCTTACTAAGTATGCATCTGCGCTATTCACCGAAATGCGAAGCTTATGATTAAAGAGGCGCATATGAGCGAAATCACAAAAGACTCAAGGAAACTTTTCAAAAGCTACAAGGAAATTATTAAAATAATAACCTACGAGAAAACAGAAGAAAGTGTTTTCTGGACCAATGTTTCTTGTGTCCAACTGTACAAAAAGTTCATAGATTTATTAGTGGCAGCTTTTGATGGGAACTACTGATGATATCCGGTACATTCAGCAGACAGCAACAGATTGATGCAACCTGGTTACTGTGGTTCAAATTGCTGAAGAGTTTATTGATGACTTTTCTGCACGTATTTCTAGCAAACTGCAGCATTTATTCATTGCTTCATCAGATCAAATTTTCAGAAGAGAAGAAGAATTGTTTTCAGTTGTCGTGAAACTGTAGTCATTTGTGATTTTTCTAAAAACACAGAATGATAGCTCAGGATGCCTCACAAGGATACCATTGTGCAAATAAAAAAGCCACCTTTTACCAATTTACGGTTTACTTCGCAAAAAATTTTGAAACTTCCAGTACTTTCTACAGCCTCGTCGTAAAATGAAACTGCTTTCCCATGACACGATAGCCGTATATCAAC